TGGGGGAAGTTGGAAGGAGGAGGAAGGTGGAGAGAGAAGGGGGAGTTGTCATTTGTCTTGCCGGTGTACTTCTTCTTCTTCTTCTTCTTCTTCTTCTTCTTCTTCTTCTTCTTTCTCTCTCCTCTGGTCCATATCTCTTTGCAAGTGCTTTCATTTCTTTTGCAATTTGGTGGCATTGTCTTTCATTGTGAATTGCACTTGGGAAATGACCAGGATCGTAACAGAGCGCTTGTAGACACATCTGTTAAATCGTTAAGAAGAACATAAAAACGTTCCTGTCGACGATGGATCAGATAGTAAACTGGTCAGAACAGATACTACACTTGGTCTTAGCCAAAGGCTGAGAATGTCTGTTTTTGAAAAACATTTGTTCAAGTTTTTTTTGACAATTCTGTGCTGTGTTGTTTAAGTATGCTGAGATTTGTTGACTCTACTTATGGCGGTCGGTTTGTTCTCGATCTTTGATCTTTGAATGGTGCAGTTGCGGTCACTAGTGGAGCACTACCCAAGGATGTATGTTCAGTACCGACAAGGTGCGCAAGAAATACAAGACGGTGAATACTTGATGGTTCTCGGAAGGGTTGAAAAATCAATGTGAGTCAAATGGCTTCTTTTTGACTTGTTGAGCTTGATATGTTATCCTTGAGTCCCACAGCAACGCGTCAATACCTATTGTCGATTCTGCTCTCCCATTTTTTTTTAAATATGAAATGCTACAGGCCGCAGGGTGGAAAACCGACAAGCCTGGGCAGTGAAGCAGAAGGGGTTGGTTGTTTTGAGTTTGTTGAGGTATGCGTGAACGACTGCATGGGCGCCACACAGTGCTTGTATATACCCCTGCTTGTCGACTTGGCATGTCATGACAGCCTCTGCAGTAGCCATTCTATTTGAAAGACCCTCCCTGCGTGGTGGTTGGTTGGGGCATGGGGCTCGGTCTGCAACTCTTTGCACGGTGACCTGTGTGGGAAACTACCGTCTTCACCCGAGTAGAACGCCCGGTCATTGTAGCTGTATTTGGCGCAACTTTTGGTCCAGATGCAGCGGTCATGACCGGTCGTTCTATTCGGGTGAAGACGGTAGGAGGCACATGAGAAGCTTGTATTTGGCGACGGTTGCGGATCTACAAGCAGATTAAACTGAAGCAAGCTAGAACTACCTATTTGCTTCTTTCTGGTTCTTGAGGAGGAGCAGAACTGCCAGCAGCTGGGTCTAGCAAGCCCGTTACAGAGTTTTGTGTGTCTCTGTGGGAAGGCTTTTGTCAAAGTTCACTGCTGCAGAAAGTGGGTAATGCTGATGTATGTTATTATTGAGTGAGACACTGAGAGCACAACATCCCTGTACAAGGAATGGTAGGTCCTCAGAAGCTGAGTCGTTCGGGATATCCGTTAAACTTGAAACAATACAGAGAATATTAATGTGGCCCCTGCGCAAAGGGTGACACACATAAATGAAATGGTCCAAACAAAAAAAAAAAAGGTATTCAAAAGCAGAATCCTAGGATGTGTTTGGAATATGACCATAGATGTTGTGTGAAGTAAGGTCCTCCTGTAGGGCTCTGCCATAATTTGCTCTTGCAATTTGGCAACTGTATCAGAGCATACTCCCACAGAGCATACTCGCACTGGGAAATTTCAAATTTCAGGATATGTCTGACCTCGATTACGGTCAGCCTGGATGACATCCGACTGTAATTCCGTCCACGGATCGATCGAAAAAGTGCTTGTGTGAGTAGACCCTTGCTGTGGCATAAAGCAGAGGAACTAACTGCCTGCACCGTCACACTCGGCTGCCCTTCACTTTTTGGGTATTATACCTGCAGTAGGACACCTTAGTCATGCTTCAATTCTCTGACGAAAGGGAGTACTCTATTGGCTCTTGTAATTGGTTTGGCATGAATGTGATGGCATGGTCAGGGGAAGGGCGTTTCGAGGAAGTTTGGGTGTCATTGAGATAGTCATATCATTGTATGGCGAAGACGCTGCTGCTATGGAAGATGAGATGGCCTCTTCATCCACTGCATCGCGCGACCCTGCCTGTGACAATGAGAAGAGTGGACGGAAAGGCGCTAAGGTTGGTGAGGGTCCGACAAAGCCGACCAGAGTGCATTTGAAGCGGTTCTTTCGAGGACGTTATGCTCAGCGTGGTTTCGTGATGGGGATGGCAGCCAAGTATCCAGCAGGGACTATGGTTGCTGTAAGTGGAAAGGTATGTCAGGAAACATCACGTTTCAATCTTTCGGACATGATGACCTTCTTTCAGGACAATCTAGGGTTGTATGCAACTCGCTATCGTCGTAAGATGGACATCTCAGGAGTGGACTCTGTTCCTGATGTCTAAGCTCCCATATTCACGAACAGGTCGGAACTTCACAGGCACACATACTACTAGAGTACATATAGGCAGCTGAAATACCTTGCACAGTGCGCCGTCAACGCTTAGTCTGTTCACTTAGACTGTGAACATAGTCTTCTCTCAGTGTATGCAGTCTTTTTTCTTTGGGACAAGTGCTCCAGTCTATTCGTGGGGAGCAACACGTGCTGGGAACCGGGCCCAGCGTCCGATTTGAAATACGAGGGCCATTACCTGGCTTTGGCTAAGAACAATCTGAGAACTATGAAAAGAGTTCAGGAAAATTTAGGAAAAACATGGATAACTGCTGAGCTATTGCTAGGCTACTGAAGCAGCACTTACGAAGTCAAAAGGAAAGCCACAGAAGTCCTTTGAATGCTCAGAACCCCTGGAATCCCCAACAAAACACTCTCCCCGGCCTCATGCCCCCACCCTGCTAGGTTACAGGGTAACACAACTCACCCCAGCTCCGGCCAGCGCCGTCCCGACAGCAACCCTTGGTTTTCCCTTGGAATGCCTGGCCCAAGGCATCCCCAGATCTCTCTACCTGGCCTCACGCTCCTGATATCAACAGGTTACAGGGCAACCCCCCAGCACCGGCCAGCGTCGTTCTGGCATCGAAAAACCGCAGATCCACGAATATAACAGCATTAAAGAAGCCTAAAATGAGTTGCAAGAAGTACCCAGAATCCTAAGGCATTCTCAAGACTGCCAAGAGCGATCGTGAACAAAATGAGAACCTCTTTTTTTTGCAGTACTAAATTCGAAGGGCCCTTTTATTTTTCGAACCTTGGCTCAAAGGAGAATTCAGACCCAAAAAACCACCTGCCTTGGTGCCTTTCAGCGGCCCAACCCTACCTGCCTCACCCCTATACCCCGATGCCCAGCCTCTACCAAGCCTCACGCCCGCAACTGCTAGGTTACAGAGTGGCACGACCCACCCCAGAAAACCCCCCACCTGCTAGGCCACAGGGCAACGCGACCCGCCCCGGCTCCGGCCAGCGTTGACTAGGCACCAGCTCACCAAAAGACACTAGAGTGCGTTCCACCCTCAGCAAATCCCCAGATCTCTCTACCAGGTCCCATGCCCTCGTACAGCTCGAGTTACAGGGCGGCGCGACCAATCCCCAGCACCGACCAGCGTCGTTCTGGCCTCGTCTATCCACAAACCACCAGGGCTCAGGAGAACAGCAGATACCAGTCAAGCCACCAATCCGCGCCATAGCTGTAGATCCGATCATCCATCCTTCAGGCACGGGTTGCAGACATCCCACAAAAAGGCCTTCTCAGCCCTACTCCGACAAGTCATACCGCAATGGAGCCACCATCTCCACTGCAGCTATACCCTATTTCAACTCTGCAGGTTAGCCCCTTCGCCGCAGAGCGCGTCCTCTCCCACCATCACAACCACCACAACCCCCTGCAACCAGCACCAAACCTTGGAAGAGTTTTCGATAGAGTTTTCGATTAGGAAAAACAGGAATAAATGCAAAAAATGCAAAAACAATATTCATCGCCCACTATTCCCACGGGAAGAGGGAAAGAGGGAAAAACAAACCTCTCTCCCCATGGAAACTCTGGCGCCTATTGAGAACATATAAAGGGTTCACAAGAATCAAAGGAATTACTCCTCTCCCCAAAAAGCAGCCCCCTGTCTGTTCACTGCCTCCGCGGGAAAGCGCCCCCTCACCTCCCCGCCCCAGTTCAGAACAGCCCCCAGAATACACTTCTGCTCCCTCAGTTGTATACAGTACCCTCTAAAGTATGCCCCCGCAGGGCAGAAGATCCCCCTTCCCTCCTGCCCCACCCCCTCTAAGCGGAACAGCCCTCAAACCACTCACCTTGCTGCAATCAGCACCCCTTGTCCTCTCTCCCCTACCGCCATAGCTGATCCGACCAAAAATCAGCGTGGCCCAGAAAAGGACAAACCCTCAATACCGCCCCTACCCTCTCAAAGATCACACCACCCACCTTGTGTAACCCTCGTAGGGAGGGACTCCAACCCTAAAGGAGATATTCCATTCCACACCTATGGCCCCCAAACCCACGACATCCCTAACCGAGCCTCAATTCCTAAGAACAATAAGACTTGAGCTATCACTGTTTAAGATTGGAACAAGTTTTGCTTTACAAAATCACCCTTAAGGCTCAAGCTCGAAAAAAACTAGAACAATCAATTAGGATTCTGTTAATTGGTAATCCAGTTGTTGATTCACTTCTGAGACCAGAGCAGAGTCTGATTTACGAACATCAAATTAAGAATATTATTGAGCCGTCCTTCTATAGAGAAGATTCGGGAAAAATTACTTGCAATTTACACTGGACTTCAGATCAGAATGAAACCAAGAAATCCAATCAAGAGAAATAGCATCGAGACACCCGTTCAATGAAGACGAAGATTACAACATTTTCCGAAAAAATCTAAATACGAATCAGAATGCTAATCCAAATTGTCATCATGATAAGATTTGAATCAGAAATTTGAGCATACAGAACTAGAAGTCAGATACCTACCGGTACGGAAGATGAGGATGGACCAATATCTGAAAAACAACATGAGGATACGACTCAGACAAAACCAAAGTACTACCTATCAGAAAACTGTGGAGGATCTACAAGGTGTCTTGACATGCAAATGCTATCGTTTCCACAACCATGTCACGTCCCTCCCCCCTCCCAACCTCCACCACCACCTTCGTCGGCTGAACAGCAGCTCAACCATCTCGTGGCCTGTAACCCATTGCAGCCAACAGAGCATAAGGCTGAACGACAAAGACAATCGGACCGTGGCCTTGACTTACCTTATATCAGCCACGTAGCGAGACAAAAACCGCCAAGCCCGTCGACGGCCCCTCGCTGGCAGTCCGGAGAGAGAGAAGAACATTTCATGTTAGCAAGACGCCTATGTAGATTGCCGTTTCCGCCATCTCACACGCTCCACCACCTAGACGCCAAAAAACCTCCAGTGACCTCATCACCGTCACAATCACTTCCTCTGTCCCACTTTCATCCGAGAATAAGACCACCTGAAAGGTGAAGCCAGTAGAGATGACGAAAAGAGGAGAGAGAGGCAACAGGGGCGAGACAAAAAGGAAGGGACAAAAGATCTGAGGAAAACCTCCCAACCTTCACCAATCCGAGTAACTGTGGTATGGCCATACCACTATAATCTTCGAGCTCTCAGCCATACCAAAGGAGACTCCATCTTCCCCACCAACTATTCCCTTCGGACTACCTATGCAACTCATCTCCTCCCCCCGTCATACCTCCCTCTCCATATCTCGCGGCTCAAGAAACTTTCCATGCAAACGCCGCCAGGAAAAGATCCCCACCACGCGCCCTCCGAGTGAAAGGCCTGCACAAACCGCCGGGGCGTCACCGGTCCCTCCACGATAACACACTATTGGGACGGGGCGCAACACTCCCGGTAGCGCTGCGGGCCAGTGTATGCAGTCTGTTTACGATGGCTGCACACATTGTACATAGGACACTCACACTGTTCCAGTCTGCTCACGTTTCCTTTCTTCACAGTGTGAAATTCTTCTTCCCCCCCCCCCCACATGTCACTCCCTTCCCTGCTGAGCTGTTCGCTATTGTCACTCTCACAGCCCTAGCACCAGTTAGGTTCTGGTTATTGTCCAAACCTGATGCCGCATTTTATACTTCTCCGCAGGGTTGCACCCCTGCCGACCGCCGACCGTATTGCAGCCGACCAGTGAGAAAACAACCATCCACTGATTTTTTTTCAAATCTGTGTTGGGGGCTGTACTGCGCTTGCCGAGTAGAGCCCAAATCCGCTGAGAAACGTTTTGGGATGGGGGAGGGGTATGGGGGGGTTGGGGTTGGAGCATACCTGCGGCGCAAGTGTGCTGGTCACCAATGCGCAATAATAATAATAATAATAATAATAATAATAATAATAATAATAATAATAATAATAAAACGGCTGTTATGTGTGAGGACACGCAAGAGAGAGAGAGAGAGAGAGAGAGAGAGAGAGAGAGAGAGAGAGAGAATGCAAACAAATAGCTCCTTAAATAGCTCCTTGGCATTTATTTCAAACCCCCTGCGGGTTATCCGAGAGCCCCCTACACACAATCAGCAAGGGCCACGTTGCCATGAACGAGCTAGCAGTTATAGCCATGCTAGAATCATGGCACACCAAGTATATATGCTGTTGATTCATTTAAGGTCAGTGTTTCAGCAGTTATGGGACCACTGAGCACGCAAGTTTCTGGGCAGTAGCAGGCCAACTCACCACGTGCTTCTCAGGGCTTCCCTCCACTACTCACCAAATGTGCAAAACTAGAATGAATCTTCTGCTAGAACATGGAACCGTACGCCACCATATGTTTTGTCTTTTGTGCAAGTGGTGACGAGTGAAGCAAGGCCCTTAAGGCCACTGCTAGTAGGAAAAGGAAACAAAAGAAAGAGAGGAATGAATCTTCTGCTAGAACATGGAACCGTACGCCGCCATATGTTTTGTCCTTTGTGCAAGTAGTGAAGAGTGGAGCAAGGCCCTTAGGGACACTGCTCATAGGAAAACGAAACAAAAGAAAGAGAGAGCCACGGTAGCAAGTAGTTGTAACTTGTAACCCATAACTGCTGGAAAGCAGACGTGACTTCGGATCCAGAACATATATTGCTGGCCTGCTTCTCTTTCATACGAAATTTCCTGAACGTCTCTTGAGATGTTGGGACCCTTGCATATGCACTGCTGGGGTCCTCCGGGAAAAAGACTATTCAACAAGGGATACGTGAGCCCAATTTTTTTTTCTGTGGGGAGGTGCACCATTGGCTACCTCAGCCAGCGTTCTCCAAATTATTTTTTATACCCTACTTATTGGGGTGCGTCGCATCACGTGCGCGTGCATGCTTACACGTGTGTCATGCACCGCACGTGCGGAGCTCGCGCGCACGGGATACGCCGCAGGTATGGGTTGGAGTATAGGGGGAGTATAGGGGTGATATAGGGGATATCGTGGGGTTTAAAAAGGGTGTTGGGGGCGGTTCGGGAGTGTCGGGTTGGTGTATGCGGGTATTGGGGGCCGCTATGGGTGTGTGGGTGGGGTTATTAGGGGTTCTGGATCCCAAAACCACAAAAAAAAAGGGTGCGGGGTGCCGATGACCCCCGACTGGTAGGTGCCGACCAGCCGATTGGTCGGCGTCAAGGGCCGCCGACTGTCGGCGGGTCCAACACTGCTTCTCCGCTTTCTCTCGTTCCTCGCTCCTTTCATGTATAGAAACTCCATTTCCCTTCCACATGGCCGCCTCGTCGGTCATCCCCTTCCCTCGCCACCTTCTGCCTTCCCGCCTCCCAACACCACTCCTCACCCTCGCCCTCCTCCATCCCGCCTCCGAATGCCTTCCCTCATCCTGACCACATTTCACCAGGGCTGAAGACAGAGAAAAGTACCGTGGTTGATCGAGATTCAACATACGCCTAACACATGTCACAGACACCGAAGATGATGTGAAACTCAAATTTGAGGCAAGGCCCTTTACCTACATTCGGGTCCGGAGCTAGCAGACTCTTCTAAGCCTACTGGATCTGGGTAGGCGTACTTGAGTCGCTGAAAAATGCTAATGGCTCCCTGCTAATTCTGCTTTTGTCCTTGTGTTCATTCTACACTTCTTTGAAGTGCACCCAGCATCCAATTTCTGTGACTACCCCTGTCACCTGTTTACTGTTCTACCCCTCCCAGGACGTAGAAAACACAGTGAGTTCAACGGCACAGGAAGCAACACGGAGAGACTTTGGCATAGGCAAAACTGTGAAACGTGCGCAAGCTCAGAAATCTTAAGCGACGAGACTGACAAACATCAACACTGCAAAAACCGCTGGAACCGCAGACTGAAATTGTGAGGGGCATTGCTCACTGGACCAGAAACCCTGTCTGAACGGTCTTAGCTACCACCCATAGTACTAAAGCTCTATGGCTTGGATTCAAAGCCCGCTTCCGTCTCTGCATGGTTAGTCCTACGAAGCCTGGGATCAACTTCAGTTCCATCGATTTAGAATAAACAAGAGTGTGAAATTGCATTGCTTCCAAACACAGCGCCTTCTTCCCTCCCTCTCCGTCCCCCTGCAGTCTGTCTGTCTGTCTGTCCGTCTGTCTGTCTCTGTCTGTCTCTGCTGTCTGTCTCTGTCTGTCTGTCTGTCTGTCTGTCTGTCTGTCTGTCTGTCTGTCCGTCTCTCTCTCTCTCTCTCTCTCTCTCTCTCTCTCTCTCTCTCTCT